ATTATATTACAAATCTAAATGTTTAAGGGGCTATATTTTCAAACCTGACTCTAAAATTGTAAATTTACATTGTACCCTACTTTCATTTCGGTTTATTGTCCATACCAATCCCCTTTACAAATCCTTCAAGTAGATTTACTATCAAAACAAATAGCGACTCGTAAAAAACAGAGGACATGCTGTTATTTGACACGCAAATAGTCACCGTCGTTAATACTTTTCATTCATAAAAACGAAGTGAAATGTCCGAATCAGTACGGTCCGCTAGTTCATAAAAACGATGTAACAGCTTCAATCGTGTAACACGATATGATAATTCGTGTTATTTGCTTTGTAAACTATCACTTATACATTATGCAGTTTAATGTTAATAATCATTCATATATATACCAACAAGTTTCTCTCACCTGTTTACCAGTGCGAGGTAACGTCTCCACGTTGGTACCTCCGACGACAGGCGCTTTTTCCGGTCCTCCATTCTGTTGGCTGACATTTATGTTGGCATTAACATTCGCGTGTACATTGGCGTTAACATTGTTCGCATTGTCGTTGACGTTTGTATTGGTGTTGCCACCACCGGCAACGCCGCCAGTTCCACCCCCGCACTTTCCTTCCTCGCCCGTCATCACTTCGACCTCACCCTCCGTCGCGACGGATCTCTCTTCTTTCCACCCTTCCGCGTTCCGCGCCTCAAGCCTTCCTTCCGTTCACTGATTACCAATGTCGGTCCGCTGGCCAGAATCCGGATATCTGCTCGAACGAGACGACGAATCGCCGATCAGGAGAAACGGGTCAATCTAGGGGATTATCGAGTCGACTCTATCGAATCTGTAATATCGATAACTTCGGGACTCCCTACTTGGTCGTGGAAAAAGTTTCCTCCCCTTGCGACGAGAAACTGACCCCATTTACATTCGTTATATGAATTTCATCGTGAAAACGAATTTTACACTATTGTCACTGGAATCAAGACACATGACCTTAAGCTTCACAAATTCATCTGGAATAAAATAGTTTAATCGAGGATTTTCATTAATTGAGTTACCACAATATTAAGAAGACAGGCGAGAATATCGAACAGGAAGACGAAGAACTGATGAAAATGTTAAGTTCCTCGATTAACCTACGAACAAGACATTCGTGACATACATATAACGAAAAGAAAAACAGGAACGATTTAAATCCTTTACTTTTCACGTAAACATAGAGAGTCTTCGAGATAGTTAAAAAACAGCTCTGACACTCTTCACAGTTTCCACTGTCACATCATCAAAGTGCATTACATTAAAAATGTCTAGAAGAATTACTTTCGTTCTCTCGTCGCCGCTATTTTTAGGTTTCTCAACGCGCGATACGGGTGGTATAACAGTAGGTATATGACGAGCTATGTAGCTCAAGCACGTTATACTTCACGGAGCACATGTCGATCGACGACTAATCAATTAATTCAACTATCATTCATTGACGATTGGATAACTCGAACCATGTTGCCGCTAAAATCGATGCTGGATTTTCATCCTTGCTTTAACTGTCTTGCGAATTACATCCGCTTTCAAGCACGGTTTAATTTTAGACGGTCCCACAGATCGGTCTCCACTAATGTTACTGAACGCCATGAAACTGGTGGACAACAAGTACGACTTGATTCACGAATCGTGAGCAGATCACAAAAACCGCTACCGTTTGGTGAAACTGGGGAAAATAGTTTCCGGTGACCACAGAAGACTCGGGGAATCATGCATGTAGTTGTATCGTCAGTAGTGAAACCAGGGAAAATCGATTCGGCCGTGCCCGTTTGAGCACTGCGCGCCTCTCAAGTATACGAACCACCGCGATAAAAGTAGTCAAGCCGCGCGGAACGGTCGTTTCGACTTGCGAGATACGTAAGTAATGCACACTCGAACACTTGTAAATCCTTCGAAATTGTTCTTAAAGAAGACTGAAAATATAGTACATTCGAGCGAATAATAACGCCCGCGGTCGAACTAAATAAACGACAAATACGGCCTATGAGAATAGACGACTTTTAAATGTCATTTCACAGAAATACATCGTTCTTTGATTCTTTTGCGACCCCCTCCTGTTAAGAGAAGTAAAAGTTGCATTGCCTGCGGACTAAATCCGAGTGCCCTTCGTAAAAATGAGAGAGTATCGGAGGTGTGGAAAGAATCCTTATGCGACGAATACGCAAGGCGTGTTCGACCCTTTTCGAATGAATACTGCGATGAATTGGCGAAATAACAAGCTTCTATATAGTTGTAAAGACACGAACAATTGTAATCTAACTGAAATTTAAATCTTTTGATACACAGGATTAGTTAGATTAAATCAATTAAAATTTCTTTTATTAAAAGGTGTATCTTTTACTGAGACTATTGCTGAAAATACACAACTACAACAGAGAAAGCTAGACAAAAATGTTGTATACCATGATAATACGTGACCGATAGACAACAACCCTTTAAATTTCTCTAACACAGGAACTCCTGCCGCAGGCTGATGCCCGAGTCATTGTGTGTGTATATGTGTATCAACTATACCGGTCTTCTTAGTTCTTTACTAGCTAGAAAATCAGGTATTACATTTAATAATAAATATTTCGAAGCAGTTTTCGAAACATAGCTTGCCTCTGTTTTCATTATTCAGTGGGATATGCACAATCTGCCCAAATCGGTTAACGTGTCGATTGACTGCTCCGTAATCGAATCCTGATGCACCGAAAAATGACGCGACTAACCAGAGAACTACAGGGTGTTATGACGATATTTAGAATTCCCGAATACCAACCACAGGATACCGAGGCACTTTTCCCATTAAATGTTTCTTCACTGTCAAATCACACGACGTTCCGTCATTTTTTGTACGTTTCCTCTTACACGAACCGAACTATGCACATATATGTATATATGTATATATATGTGTTATTCCAAAAGATTTCGTCTGTCTAAAAAAGGTCCGAGCTTAACGCGACCGCCCTCCTAGAAACTCCGCACGGCTTTGATCGGTTTTATAACTTCGATGGCGACGAGTACGCTTCAAGCGACGCCTGGTGATCACGTTCTAAATGTACCGGCTATCCCCTCTTTTCAATTGAGCCTTCCCGATTACCGCCACTATGCCACCCAATGCCTCCTCACAGAATACAACAGAAACTTGATCTTTTGTCAATAGAACAGCATCGACAAAACAAATATTTCTTGAAACAATAAACTAAGCTCATTTATTACATATAATATTCGTTATAAACTATTGTAATGTAAATGTCTACATATTAAAGTCACGAGTAATTCCTTTTTACATTTTTATGTGTATGGTAAAAACTAACATACTTTAATAAATTATATCCCTTATTTCCTAATATAACTGCTGACTTTCAATTTTATACGATGTTTAATACTTCAAATACTATATTTATTTCTTAAAGATTTCATCCATTTCTTCATTATCACTCTTATTTCAAACACATTTTGCAAAAGGAAACAATTTAAAAAATAAACATCAATCTTTTAGTACAATATTGTAATTTACAATTATTTGTATAAAAGTTTAACATAGAAACACAAATAGATGCATTTTTATTCCTTACAATATTATTTCTATATTTGTAACATCAATGCGGAAGATTGCTATTAAAAACGCATTTTGTATACAAGTATGTATAAGGTAAACTAAAGAAATATATGCTATCTGTGAAATCAATAAAGTATGCATGTACTGTTACATAAGTATACATACAATAACATAAACTATTATTTACATTCAAGTACTATATTTTTTATATTTTTAATATATAACAATAAAATAATAAAAAAAATTTTAGGATGACAATATTTTGATGAGAATAGTTCATTATTTTGAAGCACACCAATTATTTATTTCTACTATACCTACTTATATTAAAAAAAATTATTATTCAAATGTAATAAAAAGTTACGTTTATATGCCAAACAACGTGTTTTACTTAACAGGGAATTACAATAATTATAGTTTTATACTATAGAAAATATTCATTAGTCATAAAATCATTGATAACAAAATAACTCAAATATACATTAATTTTGTCAATAGAATAATTACACATTTATTCTTAACATTGTTTATTACGTTATGATATTCTAATTCACGTAAGTCATGTATTAAACAATTGTGGTGTTTACTAAAACAAAAGTAGTAATATCACTACAATAACACATTTGATGTACGAATGTGATGTTCATCTTTTTAAAATTATTACATCGTATTATGTATTTAGGGTTCAATGTTTATGAACTTGGTGTCATTGAAATGAATATAACTAACTATTTCGTATACTTATTCATAAGACCGAATATTAAAAAATGATTATTATTTTACTATTAACATAATTAATGATTTTTCAATTGAACTATTTCTTACTAAAAATATTAATTTATATCACTAATATATCATACATATATATCATCCTTTGGTTTAGTTATTTAATTGAACAATAAAAATAATAATAATACAATATTATATGTACACAACTCAAACATTTACTTCTTAATGGAAAAAATATTAACTTTTATAAATGTAATATAAAATAAGATAATAATGTGTGGTCTTAACAGGTAATACAGAAATAAAGATCTTATTCATAGCTGATATTACACTCTGCTGTATATGCCATAAAAAATAAGTAGATGTTTGTATAATATTATGAGTTTATCATATATTCTTTTATATTTGTCTCATAATGCTAATACTTATATTTTTATGTACATATTTACGTATTCAGTTCACTTGTAATTGTATTATTTTATGCACTTGATAATAGTAACAGTCCCTTTTACATTTAGTACAAGAAATATATTGTTATATAAACTGTATTCATACTAACAATAAATGAGAATGTACACATTCAAAGTGTCTCCTGTCTGTCTGATGAAAAAGATAAAACATTTATATCACCAAACTTAAAAGGTTTAAATCTTGTTGTAACCCATTTTGTTATGTACATACTGCTTCTTAAACTGAACACTTCATATCTGTGGTTTACTTGTTACACATGTTCCAATATTCAAATGTTTCATAAGAGCTTTTGAACTAATAAAGGGTAATTGACAATGATCGCATATTACATCTATTAAACGTTTGGGGTGAAGTTGTACCAAATGCTTTGATAAACTGGTTTTCGTGGAATATGTTTTTTTACATATGTGACAAGGGAATCCAAGTCCATAATGGTATCCTTCATGTCTAGCCTTCACATTATCAGGACACTTCATTTCGCATATAGCACAAATAGGTAAGAAATGTTCATCCTTGATATGTATTCTTCGAGCTGTAGTATTACAAAAGCGTTTATCACATTGATAACACTGAAATGGCACTAAGGAATCAGAATGTTTAAGACTAATATGGTTGTCAAATGTTACATAAGAGTTTGATAGAGTATTACAATAAGGACAAGCTATTTCTAAAAGTATATCAACAAAGGTCTTAGCTTTTGAAACAGTACACTGATGTTTTTTCCATGTATCGATATCAGTAACAGATTTTTTACAATATCCACACATTAATTGAGAACATGGATGTTGTTTTGTAATATGAAAATTAAGAGCCTTTCTAGTGTCAAACAGAGTACCACAAACGCAAATATTACTTTTATTAACTATATTTGACTTAACGTTATTACATTTTTCGTGTTTTTCTGTCCTAAAAACCTTCTTGCATGAATTGTTTACATCAGACATTATTCTACCAGACATATTTTCTTGAGTTTTTGTTTCTTGCTTCTGTTGTTCTACATTAGAATCATTCGTTACTTCATTTGCAATAAGATTATTATTCATACTGCTTAAATCAGAACCACTTTGTGAGTTTTCTTCAATATCAATATCAATATCTTCATCAATACATTGAATTTTTAAAAAACTATGATTTCCACTATATTTAGATGATTCCATTTCATACTGCCAGTCCTGTGGATCTGCTTCAGTACTATCTTCAGAGAAATTTGATAAGAATTCTGTATTTCTTAAACACGTTGAATTCTGTAATATCTTTTCATTGTCTGCGTCTCTACCAACAATCTCATAAGAATCATTTTTTTTCTTTATTGTTATATTAATTCCAAGTCCAGAATCTCTATCAGAGTTGTTTCCCTTCGCACTTAGAACTGTGTCTGACTCTTGTGCTGTTTCACTATTTTGTAACCTGCACTTCCCCTTATGTAAATACAATGTATGAGGATTACGAAATGTTCTACCACAAGAACAAATACTATTACGTTTGCCATTGTTTCTTATACAATGGTCTCTGCTACTCTTACATTGATTTTGAAACACTTGTTCTTCTATTTCACCATTCGTAAATAAATTAGTTGAATTATCCTTGTTAATGTTCCTGTAACCTTTTGTATTTTTAAGAGATACATTATTTGAATTTTCATTTATATTTTGTTTCTCAAATAATGGAGAATTTAAGTAATTGCAATTAATCAAGTGAAAATTTTCTTTTGTTTCTCCACGAATACGATGACTATTCATATGTTTTTTAACATTGTTTGGTGTATAAAGTCCAAAACAAATATCACATTGCTGTTTATAATTTTGCAGCGAACTTTTTACTTGGTAAGTATTACTATTAACTTTATACCTCTTTTCATTACCTGCTTGTGATATATTTAATTTGCGTTTTTTATTTCTTTGGAAATATGGAGATTGTTTATCAGTATTAAGTACATCATTTCTCAAAGATTCTTTACTCATGGTCATTTTTTTTATTTCTTTGACCTTGGGCACAGCAGATGTCTTCTCAAATTCTTTCAACATAGAATTAGAACACTCAATTTTATGATAATCAATTACATGTGTTTTCACATCTTCTACAAATTGTTTACACAGTATACACTGCTGCTGCGAAGATGAATCACGAGTTAACACTATTGGTGTTCCATTTTTATGTAAGTCTTTATATATAAATTCATTTTTTCCTTCCTTTCGTACACTTTTACTACCATTAAAAGTGTTACTAGTGTGTATTGAAACACTTTTCTTTCGACTTTGGGATCGAATATTTGAAACAGACTCAGTATCAGACTCAGTTACATGTGATGTAACAGACTGCAATAGGGTATCTATATGTTGTTTAATTGGGCTTCTTTTCAAATTCAATTTATTTTGATTGCTTTGTTCTGTGTTAACAACATTAGAGTCTCTTTCATTATTACTATCATTTTGATGTTTAATGGTTTTCCTAGGCCTATCTAAGGGTATGTAAATACCATGTACTTTTGCTGAATGATGTCGCAAACTTCGCTTTTCCAAATATAATTTCCCACACGTTGCACAAGAAAATAGTTTTTGAGTACTTTTTACAGATAATTTAAAATTTGGTAATGCAGAATTGTTATTACCTAATACTGGTTGGTATTTAATATATGACTCTGTATCTTTTTTCTTTGGTGATAATGAATTTAATGTATTAGTACTCTTGTTATTTTCTACATTCTTTATTACCTTTAATGTTTCCCATATTTTATCACATTTCTCAAGCAGAACAATAGGATCCTTAACTTTGTAAGGTGTAGTAAAAGGAATTGGTGATGTAATTAAATCATCCTAAAATTGAAAAAAAATATATTTGTACACACATATTACACATTAGCTAACAAACTTTATGCTCAAATAAAATTCATAGAGTAACGTTTTTGTATTTTATTGCAATCATTTATTTGGTACAGTACTTGAAATATTATTTGTACTTATTTGCCTTAAAATTAAGTAATTACTACTGCCATTATCTCGTATTGTATCATATATGCATATAAAATATTTTAAACGATTTCTCAAATTATTAAGTTTTTGTATAGTTGTTTTCGACACTAATTATATACATTCCTTTTCATCATCAACTATCTTTTTAAACAGCTTCCAATAGTTTATTATGTACTTTTATTTGTTGAATGCACTTTTGCACACTTAATGTCTATTTATTGTATATACAGTACATATGTATATTAACTGCAATTTCATAAATATGATGTGATATATTACTAATAATAAAAAATGAGGATTTCTCAAACATAATATATGATTACAAAAATATCAAACTCAAATTACAAAATAAAAACTCGAACAGAATTTATTAATAATTTATTTAAAAATATCGTATTTCGTAAAATAAATCAAAGTAAAACTCGAACTTGAATTATTATTAAGGATTCGAAAGAGTATGAGAATTTAAAATTCCCGCTAAATGACAGGTGGGAAGCAAATGGCTTTTCCCTCCAATTTTCATAAAGGTAACGTAAATAAATACAAAACAAATATCTTGATATTATTGTGTCAAAATAAACCTATACAGTACCATTATTATGTTTAAAGAAAAGTCATATTTTAAACTAATAATAAAACATTTAATATTGCGAACTGACAGTTAAGTACCAAACACTAAATGTAAAAAACAAAATAAAAATAACTAAACAATTAAATGATTTAAAAGTTATACTTACAATGTACGATGTACACTCATTTGAGTCAGATGAACTACTATAACACGGTTCTAGTTTAGGTATGCATATGCTGGCAGGATATGGCATCTGTATATGCAGTTCCATTTGTTTATCTTTATTATACTCCAGACATTGTTCAATCATAGATGCATTCCCGGACATTTTAATTGAAGATACAGAAGACAAAAACCTAAATACAAGTTCCGAATCAGTACGTCCTGAACATAGCGGTATGCAACCTCCGTGAGCTATATGAACATTTTGCTTCCCTTTCCACTATTTTGATGATCCTGTTCCCTCTCCCCTCAACTACTTTCCCTTAGGCAGTTGAAGTTGCTTGTGGCATCTACTTGTTCCATGTTAATTTAGCCCAAGTTATTTTATAAATTTCAATTATTTAGTTCTGAATTCGATTTACGTCCAACATGCACTATTTATGAATATTATTACCAACTTGTTTGAGCATTGCAACTGATGTAATAATTGAAGTTATTTAAACAACTTACTACTGTACACATGTTTAAAACGTCAGAACACATCTTTCCAGCTAATTCAAAACCTCTTAGAGGAATAATTTTACAAACTAAAGTCTTTCTCGAATGAATACATTAAATGTCCAAAAGTACTTGTTAAATAATTCGTTGTATTTTACATATAATGTGTTATTTCATATAAAGAAGATAATAATATTTATGTAGACTATTCTGTTTATTCAAATGGTAGTTACAACTATTCTTACTTCAACCTATAAATAATGTCTACTTAATTATATCTGTTTAAAGCTTGTAAGAATCGTTCCAACATGTACTACTTGTTTGAGGTTAGTTTTGCATCAGGGCGATCGTCAATCTTTTCTTGGGAAAGTAATAATGAAATATAAATATTTTTCAAACTGTTTATATGTTACGACTCCCAAACGTTACTTTTATGCTATTAAATGTAATATACGTCAACTTTACAATATAATGTATACTCAAAACGGTAGTAGACGTACTCTGAGACGTATTTAGTATTGGGTAGATAACCCACAGTTCGAGATGTTCTGTAACTACTAATTAATTAAAACAGAACAATCAACTGGAAGAACTGCTTGTGTTTTTTAACGTAATACTTTAATTTATGATAAAACAAGTTTGAAACTGTGTTAATGAATAGACGATACATCTGAATGTCTTTGCTAAACGGATGACGTACACATGTAGTTGTCTCTAACTGCGAAATAATTTTTCAATTAAACAGAAGAGAGTTTTACTTCAGGATAAATATTTCTACAGTAACATCTTGACCTAGTTATGACATTATTTAACTTTATATAAGTCAGTTTTACGTAAGTTTAGCAGCCATACCGCTACAGTGGGCAGTTCCACATGTAGATTTTAACACGATATTTAGGTATAAATAAGCTGGTTAATTAGAAATAACAATTCGTTGCTAATCGTTATTAGAGTCAGCAAATTTATTGCTAATATATAAACATAGAATTATAATTAAAATGGTTTACGTCCATACAATTCTTTCAACATAGCTGCATCTTTGAAGTTTTTAGGGTATCAAGTCTTTGGTGTTCTGCGTAAATGCAAACAAAAACATTCTCAAGTTACATGATATTTAGATAAAAATGTTATCACGATGTCTTATAAACAACAGTTCAACCCTACTTAGTATCATACAACCAGTTACAGTAAAATATAATTGGGACGAGTGCATGTCGAAAGATGTTTACAATTCATTTACACGAAACCGAGCCAAACATACTCAACAACAAGTCTTGCCGCATCAATAAAATTGCTAGAACATATTTCGATGATATTAAATGTGTGAACAAGCAATACCGTTTAATGCGGCTACTTTATATATGCATCTTTCCATATTTCTTTGTTCAGCATTAAGGATAGGTTACATTTGATGGCACAAGTATCTCATGAAAGTAGATTTCTAACCTCTCAGCAATACAAAAGTTTTTATAGAAACGTGTAAACCTACCTAGTCCTAACTTTTAAATGTCTCGTATATTACTGTTATATAAATTGTATACTTACGTTAGTTGTGTCCGTGAAATCGATGAATCTACTACATTCCAAGACAGTCAGCATTTGTTCTTAGGTGCGCTGACATTTCAGAAATACGTGCACAACTACACGTATTTTAAGATACCGTAACCTTTATTTGAGTAATAAGCACGTAGAGACTTGTTTCGAATTAAAAGAAAGCCCGAAATCTTCAGTAATTGAAATTTCGAAGAGATATTTCTGAACGTGTCGCTTCGGACGACTCGACTCCTACATGTGGCTCAAGTTAGTAATCCGCCTGCTCCAAGCAGTTTCAACGCTGCGTCTGAGCCAGCTAGTTGTCAGCTTGTTCAATACTACCAAGAATGATGCTCAAATGATAATTATTTCAATAAATTATTTATAATCCATTAGAAGATTCTCGAAATAGACTATCCATTAAACTATAATCGTAATGTAAAATATTCTAACATAAACATACACCAGTATTTCTGTTGGAAGGATACCCACAAATGATTCAGCTGATGAAGGAGAATGTTGGAAATGGCTTAGTTTGCAATATATATAGTAAGACATAACCTAGCCGCCTATATTATATATACACATTGTAACCAGTATTGTAGCTAAATATTTGTACGCACTGTCTAATAGTCTGGATCAAGTAATGGAATAAAAAATACGATGGCTTATTTATGTATTATAAAATTTAGTGATTCAGTCTTAAGTGTAATTTAGGTCGAGTCGAAACATGCGTACGTCTACAAGTAGTCACACTACGAGAATCTACAGCAAGAACCATAATCTGTTACTATAATACCAATGCTTTCTTGTAATAAATATAAAATAGCAAATTGTTAAGTTCTTTTGTTAGTCCATGTGCATAAACAACGTGTTATATTACGATCTTCGATATTTAATAGGCAAGCATGTTCAACCACGGATGAATACTACGTGCGAATAGCAGAGTAATAATTCGAGTTTGATTAACCTAGCACAGTCATTAATAAAGATTGTTATGTAGACTGCAATAAATTGCGTTTATTAAATCAATTTAGAATTTTCTATTAACATAATAGGTTGATAACTACAATGTATTTATCGCAGTCAAGAAACCAAACAGAAGTGTGCCTATACAGGGTGTCTCAGCTAACTTGATCACCTCGAATGACTTAACGACGGTATACTTTATGAAAATTTTGATGTGTGAAACTTAAATGCCATCAAGGGGCATATTTTATAGGGTACGTGCTTTTTTATGGGTGGAGGCATTTCAGAGATTTCAGGGCTATCTTGATTTTTTTTAACGGAATGATCTATTTTTTGTACCATAGATCGATAGAATATCAAATTCTGAGTAAAAATGTGTTGACCTTCATATGTCTTAAACCTAATAGTTAACGAGAAATTTACAAAATAAGTTTTAATACGTACTTACTATCTGCAAGCTATAGGTAGGTGCTCTACTGAGATGACCCTCAACTTCAATACAGCGATTGAAATACAGTGATTATTTTGTAAATATCTAATTAACTATTAGGTTTAGAACATATGAAGGTCAACACATTTTTACCCAGAATTTGATACTCTATCGATCTATGGTACAAAAAATAGGTCGTTCTGTTAAAAACAAGCAAGATGACATTGAAATCTCTGAAATGCTTTCATCCATAAAAAGCACGACCTTATTAGACGTGCCTCTTGATGCCATTTAAGTTCCACGTCTCAAAATTTTCATAAAGTGTACTATTAAGTCATTTTTCGGGGTCATCAAGTTAGTTCAGACACCTTGTGTATATCTGATTATTAATGCCTGCTTCAAGACGCATATAAGCATAATCATCTAAAACAATACACATTTAGAAATCGTAATTATGTATTTAGTATTGGAATTTTCAGTCTATTAGCACTCGAAAAGTGAATGCTGCGAATAACACATAGACCAGAGTTCAGTTAGAATCTGGGTTAGGTTAACCGTTAGACCTTTATCCTTCTTTGCGAATGTACTTTTTTGAGACATACCGATTGTTTTTGAACTAGTAATGTAAACAAATGTTAGCTCATGTGTGTCTTTAAGCTAAATAGTCAGGCCAAGGTTCATAACACATAGGTCAAAGTCGATCCACTTAGCAGACCCCGAAACTGAACACATTCACTATTGAAATTCTCACTTATATCCATCTATTTAATGTGATTTCCGTCGTACTACTGATTAATCAACTCTGACCAAGTTTGAAGTCAGCAACTCATGAAATATCTCCCTTAAAGACAATATTACATTCCAAATTTGTACTCAACAAATGTCTGTTACGAATTCGTCATCATATCCATTTACCCATATAATAAACGTGTCGTCAGAATTGGAACAAACAAGGTCATACCTGCTGAATAGAAGTATTGTACTCAGTTTGTGCTTGATTTTCGATAAAATTGTTGTTCTAATGAGCATTCGTTTCCGGCAGTATATATATAAAGACGAATATTTCTTCACGCAAAACAGTGTAACAGTGGAAAAATGCAGGTTTTCATTACTTTTCTACTACTGGTTAGGTGTCAGCAGTCCGCATCAGTAGGACTTCGTAACGGAGGTGTTAAATTTCGTTTTTTGTTAAAAATTTCTGATTTAAAGTATAAACGTTTAATAACAAGAAACGAGGCCGATTGTAAAATAGGCGTAATAATTAAAAATATACATTTCTTGCGATTTGTATAAAAGTGCTTCCCCTTTTCTGAAACTAATTATTATGTGGTAAAATTGATAAATGATACATTTCTGATGATTAAATCTTTAAATATACAACGTTTGAACATTTCAGTGGTATCGGGAAGTGCGTTAATGTATAAATTGACGAAAAATCCACTATGGTGATATTTGTATTTAAATTTTTTTACTTTTAGTATAGTATTCTACGTTAAATTATAAACTTTTCCTTGTCTTTTATTCTTACAAGTGTCTTTAAACTAATTATTTCTTTCCTTACAGTAGTCTACTTCTACTAAGAGGATTTTGTTTATGTTTGGCCAAAGTCAACTTTGCATAGGATTAACATTTTGTTATAATAAATTTTGTACAAATTTTCCAAAAAACTAAATAAATGGAATTATATAAAGTATATAATTTTTTTGCAGAAAATAGTAGATTACAAGCAAACATTCGAAGTGATGAGTTCTTTCACAGAATAAAGGACTGGTTTGGACAGTTGAAGAATCAATTTTACACAAAATTATTTGGAGAAATAACCACCGTGGCTCCTCCCGCTTTGTCAACAGATATATTGGACTTGGATGAGCTTCAATTAAAACGAAAATTACAGGATCGGGAATGGCTTAGAGTGGACTTGTGTAAGTAACAAATATTGATTTTTAAGGTTAAATACAATCTCCCTATCGAATAGCATACTGTGTTCAGATTTAAACACCTCTTTTTATTAAACTTCTTCAGGCATATAGACAAATTTCATATAACGAGATAGATGCCCGTAAAATTAGTTCATATACGATCATTGTTTTTTGTTTCATTCTAACTACAGTATTTTTTCTCCTGCACAATGTTTTAAACATTTTAATAAATTTTCTTCTGCAGAATCTAAATTTCATATGATTTACTTTCTTTCAAAGTTCAGTCAATTAGACTTACCTGCTTTAGCTTGCTCAAGAAAACGTTTCGTTTTGGACTTTAATTGCTTTTAATGAAAGGATGCGCATTGTAAAAATAAAACACAAATTTCCTAACTATATTGTAGATGTACAGTACTATACACGATTTATCTGTATTAACAATGACCATAATGTATGAAATAATAAGATAATAAAGGACTTTTTAATATTTTTTAATTTAGAAACACATAGTTTAAACCCTAAAGTGACGAAAAAGGAAACTTAAAAAATTGCGATTCGCAAGTTACGAAAAAACGAGTTACAATAATTCAATTCTATCTGATTAACATATTTTATAAAAGTTACTGCTTTAACGAGGTTAATATTTGGTAGGAAAACCTTCTTATCTCATAACTTCGGCGAGATTTTTTGGCATCAATTCTACTACTGTTTTTAAATAATCACCTTCAATGTTTTGCTGTTCTTCGTTTAATCTATTTTGCAAATCAGGTTTATTTGTGATTGAATGCTGGCGTATTTCAACATCACGCGTATTTCATATCATCTCCGTCGGGTTTAAGTCTGGTGATCGAGCAAGAATACTTATTACTTTCAGATAGTTGTACACTAACCGCTCCTGCACTATTCCTGATTTGAGCTGTAGATCGTTGTCTTAATAAAATTTATAAGTATACTAGGATCCCCATCACATCAGCACTTTTTTTTTGTAAATTATGTAAATACATCATTTTATCCATCACTGCTGCAATAAAATGTAATTTACCTACACTTCGATAACCAATACACCCTCCAAACCATAACCGCCGCTTCCGTGCTTAACTGTACTGCACCGATTTCTGTGATTCAACTCCTCGTTTATTCTCCAAACTTTTTGGTGATCATCGGGACCCCAAATGTTCAATTTGCTTTCGTCACAAAATATGATGTCGAAATTCTGGATACTTGGAAATGAATTTCTTTCACGAATTCCGTTCGTTTTATTGTATTAGTTGCAATTAAGTAGAGTTTTCTTCTAGCAACGCGATTGTTACACAGATTATTTCGTAATACTCTTCAATCTGTTTTATTAGAAACATCTTTCGGATAAAATTTCTAAAGTGCATTTATTCAAGGATTTTCTTTAACTTTTATAACGACAAAACAGTCTTCCGATGAATCTATCTGGTGATTTATTCCTACCTTTACTTGTTTTACTTTCTATTTGTCCTTCCTGTTCGTATCTTAGTAATATTTCATATTGTTGTATAACTTTTACGAACAATGCTACTGATCTCTCTGTAAGCTTTTCCATCTTTTCAGTGAAAACGAATCAGGTTTCAAGTGTCTCAACTTGTCTCTTTATTTTTCCTTGCCATAATAGCAAACTACCTTTTATCGCTGATTATGTACGTTGTACGGAAAATATACATTGTACGAAATTCGATACCGAATACTTTACTAAAGTATACTGAATATTTGACTTTTGTTATACAAAATTCATAGTGTGCACACAATTTTGTAATGTGAAAACATGTAAATAATTATTACAATTTCCTTTTGTGTAATGCAAATCACAATTGTTCAAGTTTCTTTTATGATTTTGTTACCTGACAGTGTACATTATATATTTCTCAATAAAAATATGTTCAAAAGTCCTTTACTGTCGTATTATTTCATACATTTTTATCATTTCTCAACTATGTCAATAATTTTATGACTCACTCTATATTATAAGATTGATTATAAATATATGATTAATTGCTAACAATTTGATAAAATTCTATGATAAACCTATTAAATAACATTCTTTATAAAATAGCTACCGTAACATTTGACCCTGATCGAGATTGGGGATTCCGCGTTGGCAACTGGTACTTCATTCGGAAAGAGCTTAAAAATGACAATGGTTTTAAAAAAAATAACGCAGATGATTTGGACTTTCAACACCGAAGTCAACCAACAGATCCAATTGGAGTAAAAACTGAAGAGACCTCGGATGATACGACTGAACTAGAAGCTATGGATTCTTTATCAGTCATGTCGACTACGACTGCATTCACGACGGTAGATGTTATGACGCAATTAATGACACAGCAAGCCGACACACACGTAACAACGCAAAGTAACATACAAATCGATACATCCGAGAATCCTTCATCGAGGACAGAACAACGAATAGCAGATAACGAAACAAATAATGATCTACTTCGTAGAGGATCCGTGGAAGTCTTAATGGGATAATAATGTAGTATTTTCAAAACTTTTATACTTCTGTAGTTTCTTTACCTTGTGTGTTTATTGAAATCTTCCGTTTCTCTTCAAAACATGCTTTTTGCATAAGAATAAAATATTTTCATTATTAGGGTATATAATATATGTTTACAAATTTATGACAGTATCAGGTATAAAAGAATACAGGATTGCATTGTTTTCATCAAGAAAAGTACACATTTATTCCGTAAAACTTATCATAATCATCATTCTGTTGTAATAAATTATTATAATAATTTTTACGTCCATATTGAATAAATCTTGGTCTTCATGATATCTTGTGGTTTTACTGTAATAGAAAAGAAGAGAAAAAACAGTCAGTAAAATAATCAATTCTTACTACTAACCAATGTTGCACCCAACATGCACAATTTTTTATGCCTACAATATACATGGAACAGAGAACAAAGAAAGCATGACACTGAATGAAATTACATACTTCATACTTCATATACTTCTTAAGTGAAATATTTGGCAGAGCTAAAAATATGTTAGGTGGAATTCAAAGATTTGGGATCTAACTGAAACGCATTATCTAGTGTTAGTTAAAAACTTAAGTAAATGTTGATTAATTATTGAAAAGAGTTTTGTGTAGTCTGTATGGATATTTATATAATGAAGAATCACAGCATTTTAATATAGGTATTATTAAAATCTACAATAGAGCATTGCATGTATGCAGATGTGTAGTAGAAAACAATTACACAGCTTAAGCAGTTACTATAATAAATAAACTATTATATGTTATTGAAAGATAGTTAAATTATTTATAGTACACAAAGAGCACACTACAACATGTGTACAGTCAAAATTAGGAAAGAGGGGAAAAATAGGCAAAATTACAGAAAACGGGTAAAAGAAACTTAGAAGTTTGCATGCTGACCATGTATGAGCATCATAATAAAGTTCCCTCTTGAAGCTTGTAGTACAAATGATGAGCATTTGTCTACTTCCTTCCCTAGAATAAAAAGCGTATTCCACCATAAAGCATGCATATGGAAAGAAATATATATATATTATCTGTCTTTGTTACGCAAATGTAATAAATTAATCATACACATAGCCAGTCATTATGTATATAAAGCATTTTGAAATTTACAAGAACATTAACATAATTAATTTTTCTTATTTTTATTATCATAATTATATTCATTGCTTATAGATTAAAAATAAATAAATATTGAAAAAGATAATAACACTCAATGTATCTTAATATTTAACTTCAATATGTATAATCCTTTCTATGTCGTTTAGTTTAACCTTATAGCAGTAGTAAACAGATAATCTTAAAATAATAATTTAATGGTTTATGTGAAACTCCATAGGAAAGGATATACATACTATTATATGCAAGGATATACTATTATAAAATATACTAGAATGAGTTTTAAAAATTTTGTACATAAAATATGATAAAAAAATATTTAAAAAAATTAAATGCACTAATACACAGCTGATAAACAATAAATGGAATTTTTTAGTTAATTAACGCTATAAATTTGGAACATGGTGATTAACAACTTTTATGACCAAAAAGTGTAAAATGAATTAAAACAAATAAAGGAATAAGAATAAATTTGTTTGAACATTGTTCTATTAATGAGGTATAACTTCAAACGGACATCAAGCACTAATACAATATCATTGGCCACTAGTTTATTAATGGGCATGATATATATTGGTCACAAAAGTTTTAAATGAATATTTTTTCTTAAATGTTGTTATTCCATAAGAAATAATTTATTCATGATATTAATTTATGAATAAATAATGAATCTTTATCCTTAGTCATGCAACAATGAACATTTACCAGTCAAATATTCACTGATTTCCTTAACAATGGTAATATGAAATTTGAAAGAAATATGAAAAAAAGACATTCACCAATTATAATTCTAACAAAAACAATATATAATAAAACAAAAGCATTAAATAAAAAATTGTTTTGAAGATTTAAATTTAAAGCTTTCATATATAACCCTTATGTGGACAACCAGGTACCCTAGTACTCATTTCTATATTTCTTTTCACAATTTTTTATCTTCTTGTCTATAACAGCACCTGTTATATTATAGGAAGGAAAAACTAAGAGTTTCGGTAAAGTATGAAAGTAAAATTATTTATATTTATCTAATCTGTCGGAATATAATAATTGGGGTACTACGATTGTTCAACAACCATGAACAATTTGGTTGCCTACATAAGGATTAATTGACAGTATATGTAGTTAACAATAGATGCAAAGTCAAAAACAGTATTATCATACCTTTTTCGATGCAGCTCCAACTTTACTCTTCTTAGTACCTCTAACTTTCTTCATTCTGTTCTTACGTTCTTTACGCTGTTTCCTTGTTTGTTTCTGTTTCTCAAAGAGTCCATGCCTTGCTAACCTGTACTTCGGTTCAAATTTCTTTGCATACTCCAATGTGTCATAGATCAATGCAAATCCAGTCGATTTGCCACCACCAAAGTTGGTTAGGAAGCCAAATACAAATACTACATCTGGTGTAACTTTGTACATTTTAGCTAGCTTCTCACGGATTTCTGTTTTGCGAACTGACGGGTGGCCTGGATGAAAAACATCCACAACCTATAACAATGTGGCAATAATATATAAATTAAATTTAAACATTAAAAATTTATAAAAATGCTTACCATTTGTTTGCGGCATAATAGCCGGTTGCTCATAAACTTTCTAGTTCTAATTGTAACTATACCCTCCGTCTGTAAAGAAAAACGATAACAAAACTTAAAGGTTATGTTTTGTTTAATGTGTTTTTATTACAACTAGATTGTTTTACATAACAATATCTTATATTCATTGAAAATTGTTTATCCAATAATTTAATTCATATAATCTGAAGCATACTTTTATTTATAATTGTTCTGACACGCTAACACCATGTTTACCCTTGGTTAGAGGATTCATGTCAGAATAATATAAATTTCAGATGCTGATAAAAACATTATTTGCAAATTATATTTATAATCTACAAATATGAATATATTTTTCATAAAGTTTCAGATGATTAGAGCATGTTTTATCCAACGATTAATCAAGAGTTTTAAGATACAAAATACATACCATTTTGCTTGATTATCGTACCGCCAGCAAAAGGACAGTTACGGAAGCGTATAGTGCCATCTACAAAGAAGCAACTATCGTATATCCATAATATCCCTATGGTATAACAAAAATTTGTAATTTAATTTTATTTATATAGTAGCTTTATAATTGAGTGTAGTTATATTTATCTATGAGTAAAGATTATTATATAATATATTTAAATATTTCATAGTATATAAAATACTGACAAGTTTCTTATTAAATCTTTTTACACCCATTTCTATTTAGGGATTTTAAAGATGTAACCAAAAATTTTCGTTTTAAAATATTTACAATTTAATTGAAAATTGTACAATTGCTTCAAGTTAATACATATAATTATAATTTTAAATTACAAAAAATTGTCTCTGAATTCAAATTTATATAGGGTATGTTGTTGTATTGAAAATATTTTTCATTACATTTGAATTTTAAGAAAAAATAATTTTAAACATAATTTTATTACAATCAGAAAGCACTGACAACCAATATTGAAATTTATGCTACATAAAATTAGTTATTTTGGTACAGTAATGCATTTTTAACATGTTATCGACGGAACAAAGGAAGTTGAACATATGTAGTTCTGAGGAAGACCGTAATTATATCTAGCGCTGGTAGCAGTATTCCATTTATCTGATTGGTTCCCCTTGGAGTTTGGAGTAACGTCCATTACTCTTCTGGGAAGTTTCGAGAACGGATACGGACGGTAATATTGGTGAGAGTTCTATGCGTTTACAACAGTTCGTCAAATACTATTACGTGGAGGAAGACGAGCGTTTACGGCACGCGGATATTTTCCATGAGCGGTTTTCTTTCTGCTGATACAGGTAAGAATAAAGTTCGTATAGCAGTTCGAGGAATATTTTAGAAAATTGCGCAGATGAATAGAATTTTCGTCATTGAATTATGCGATCGATCAGAAGCTTGTGAATTTTCCTTGGGATAGAAAGCAGATTCGTATAGCATTAATGCAGGGTCAAGTTGCGATATAACATTTGAAGACATTGAAGAGTATTAATGTAATTGTAACGTAACTTCTGCAGTTGTCGAAGTTGAAGTGGGCATTTGAAGGTTGAATTATAGATCTGTGTACGCTCTAGCATATTGAATATTACGAAATACGCATCAATTAATTTTATCATAGTGCGAACACTTGTGCTCACCCATGACTCGCACTTTACGTTGAAAAATGGTGGATGTCTCTATTGGCTTACTGATGTCAATACGAAACACGGTCGAAGTTATAAACTATATCTGTCAATTAGATGCTTGTAATGAGGGTTATATATTTCCTTTTATTTTTATAACATGAATTATGAATAAATATTTTCTGTTCATTCGAATAACTGCTTTTAGAAGTTTTTGATTTTTCTTGCACGTTCTTCAACCGGTAGCCAAGCCTTTAATGTGTATACAAACGCTTATGGATACATGTATATGCATTAGCGGAAGGCTTTAGAAAATGTGGTGTCCTTTGTTCATAATATAGTAAACTGCCGTTCTACCGAAACAACGGTTTAATTTCCTCTTTCGTATCAATTAGTAACATTTTGTTGCACCAAAATGATTCTGGACGCCATTTTGAAACCAAAGACGCACATGGATACAATTTACTGGAGATTTCTATGAGCGTATCATTGATGCGCTTTGTACCCTCGTATATTGATTATGGAATTTTCGTTTAACGTAGATTAACTTTTGAATATATTAAAATTACAACCATTGTTTAATTGTATTACATATACCTTGAAATGTGTTGTATCATTATTAAAGTTAGAACTACTTGAGGTTCAAGGTCATTACATGAAATTACATTTTTTAAATATCCATATAATGCATTTAAGTACTTCCAATGTTCTAACATCTAATGTGAGTATGAATGATAAGAGAGTTTTTTCAAACTATTCATTTTAACTGCAATAAGTATGACATCAAATGTACCACACTTTGATTTGCCCATATTATTACTTAATGAAAATTCGGATATACATACTTGCTTCTTTAAAATATTCATGATGTGTGTTTTGTCTATTTTATCAAGTTAATATTTGGTGTGTGCAATAAAACATTGTACATTTTACTATATACAATGTGATTTTTTATTTTGTCTAGTTTATACTGTTACACATTTTTTATGTAAGTAGATTGATAATATTACATATGTACATCTATGAAAGTATGTTATCTAAGTTTAGTTATATGTTTTAAAACATTTTACTAAAAAAGGTAAAAGGTCCATTATACAATGTTTGTAAACAAAAATACAATATTTTGTTTTATTATTTACTATTAAGAATCGGACACAATTATTTATGTCTAATAATATGTAGGGGTCCGATTCGTAAGTTAATATTGCTTCTTGAGGTTTAATATTTTCTAGATAACATTTGTTTAAAACCTTTAGTAATTTCCTAGTGTCTCATAAGGTTTATGTGACATTTAATAAGTGTCGTAATACTTACAGACACGAGTCTATATAGTACAAGATTTATACCATCTACCTTAAGACATAATAATGTAAAAACTTATGTATTCCTATTAATATTAAATTTTGAGCATGATGAATCAAATACTGCTTCTGTTGGGCAAAATTTATTTAATATAGTTAACACACTATTGAATACATTAGGTAATGCGATATAGAGGGAAAGTTTAACTTACATGTCATTATGATTAACTTTAATTCGGCTATTTAAAGTCTCTTACTCATGTTTCTACCTTCTAGAAAAGAAATGGAAAACATAACTTTTCTTTTGTCTTAATAAGCTAATACAATAAGTACTTTATTTTAAACCATTCCAATATGAAAAGGATGTGTAAACCGTTTAGTGTTAAATTCTTTATGATAGTTTAATAAAGTAATGTGTTAAATTAGTTTATGGTTTGAAAATAACAATTAGTATCTAATTTAACAACCATATAGAAATTATTATAGCATTGAAAGATTAAAATATCTCTACATTTAGAACTTGACTTATTTGCTACTACATGTCAAATTCTTATAATGTTATGATTTCTATGGCAAACAATACATTACTATTAATGACAATTGTGTGTACTGCATAAAACAATACAAATCAGGTTAAACATTTTCAATACAAGTGTATGATTCCTTTTATTATATTAACAAACATAATACTTGCACACTTCAATATAAATCTACTACCACTAACAAATTTTGTTAATATAGGTATTTCCACCTGATTACATGAGTTTTCAATAAAAGTATTTAAAGTCTAATATAGCTGGAGGATAGTTTTTAGAATGCACAGTGGTAGTAAATGTGTTAAATTTATTCTGAAGCAGACTTCTGTGATTATATGTATGTTGAAACCTAAAATTATGGTAACATTTTCATTTTATTTTCTTATTATTAGCAGTGATAATCTTAGTATAACAGTTGCAAGTTGGTTCCACCTGTAAAGAATAAGTCACAGTCAAAATGGTGAAGGAAACAACATTTTATGACGTATTGGGAGTGAAACCAGGATGCACGCAAGATGATTTGAAGAAGGCTTATAGGAAACTTGCTCTGAAGTATCACCCTGATAAGAATCCTAATGAAGGCGAAAGAGTTAGTAATATTTAGTTTAATCTTTTTTCCAATAAAATAATTTAACTTGTTATAGGTAACATTTTACTAGTGAATGTATTTGTATTACAGTTTAAACAAATTTCACAAGCGTATGAGGTATTATCAAACCCAGAAAAGAAGAGAATTTATGATCAGGGTGGAGAACAAGCTTTGAAAGAAGGTGGTAGTGGAAGCGGTGTGTTTTCTTCACCCATGGACATTTTCGATATGTTCTTTGGAGCAGGTTTTGGTGCAAGATCTGGTCGAAGGAGAGAACGCAAAGGTCAAGATGTTATTCATCAGCTGTCTGTTTCACTGGAGGAACTGTATAAGGGCACTGTTCGCAAATTAGCTTTGCAAAAGAATGTTATTTGCGATAAATGTGAAGGTAAGTACTTAAAATTATTACATAAAATCATATTTAAGATGAGAAATTATTATTTTTATTTTTTCAGGTATTGGCGGAAAGAAAGGTTCTGTTGAACAATGTTCAACATGTCATGGATCTGGTATGCAAATTCAAATACATCAACTTGGACCAGGAATGTTGCAGCATCTGCAGAGTATGTGCACAGATTGCAAAGGTCAAGGAGAACGCATAAATCCACGAGATCGTTGTAAAAATTGCGGCGGTAGGAAGACAGTTAGAGATAGAAAAATTTTGGAAGTTCATGTTGATCCAGGAATGGTAGATGGACAGAAGATCGTATTTAGCGGTGAGGGTGATCAAGAGCCAGACTATGAGCCAGGAGATATTGTTATTCTTCTCGAAGAGAAGGAGCATGAAGTTTTTAAGTGAGTATTCTAATTATTATTATAATTAGAAAATAATATATTGCATATATTCCTTAATGTACCGTTTCAGGCGTACGCGTAATGATTTGATCATGAGGATGCAGCTAGAACTTGTAGAAGCCTTATGTGGCTTCCAGAAAGTTATTCGCACTTTGGATGGAAGATTCACACGTGGCAGACTTATAATTCAATTTGTAGTTAATTTTCCGAAAACAATTGATCCTAATGGTATTCCAACACTTGAACAGTGTCTGCCTCCTAGGGAAGAGGTTATCATTCCAGAAGGAGCAGAGGAATGTATACTTACGGACTTAGATCCAGAACAGGAAGCGAGACGAAGAGATCAACGACAGGCGGTTTATGAAGAAGATGAAGGTCCTTCGCGAGTCCAATGTGCCACACATTAACTTGATTACATAAATGTCACAATAAATATGGTCATTCTTTCATTTTAAACTTTTGTCCCATTCGCTCGACTTTGAATCGCATGTATTAACAGAAGAATGAAACAATGTGGACACATAAGAAAGTTGTTCGATACAAATGAAAAAACCTGAGAGAAATGTCTAGGCATGTGCACGATTAAGAAAACCGTAAAGAATCACCGACGATTCTAATACAAAGATCACAGTTAACACTGAGTTGTTGTATAGAGGGAACATTGACGCTGTTAACGATACATTTACCGTCACACCTGAATTAAACTATAAATTTTGGTGAAAATTAGTAAACCGATTATAATTAGTTAATCGCTTGCTGTAGACAAGTATTACAAAAGATGTACTTATCATTATACACGGTGATAAGAAAAAGTGAACTGACTCAACATCTAACGTAACATGTAATCATGGAACGTTAGTAGTAAATGCGAACATAATCAATTGTATCATGTAATGCTGAACATTCGAATTACATTCTATTATTTGTGAAAATATTCGTTTATAATTAATTTGTAAATTAGAGCAGTTCCGACACTGATTGATATGGGCATACTGGATGCTAGAAATAAAGTTAGACTGTCGAATGATACTGCTATTTCGTTTGTATTTGCGACTCCCTGAAGTTCTCGAAATTCTTCACAATTGACACGAGTTTTTTTTTTCAATTTAACTGTATGTCTAGTATCATGGCTAGTATCGTGCTAGTAACGCGGTAAGGATAAATGTAGTAAGAACTTGTTTATAAACATGCAACTCTAAAGAAAATTGAATTTAGTAAGTATTTCGTAGTCTTGATTACAGATCTCTAACTCGCTTTTATTTTAATGGGACATTATTCCATTATATGTAGTCTAATTTTTTTAAGACGTGTACTAGCGTAGGACGGTAATGACAAAAATATTTTAAATTTGTTTGTCAATAATACAATATAAGGAAGAAAAATGTGGTTCCTGTATGTGTGAGAGGACTACTACGCGTATTCATAAACATTACTAATTGCTATAGAACAATTGCATCCAAGAATTTGTTTACATTTCTGATTCTGGAATTGAAAGTAAAATTATACTTAACTCCTGGAAATTTTATTTACCAATATGTACAAGAGGCAGCTTTATATATCTCGAACTGAGACGCGTTTCATCTATTCGTTCATAACAAACCTAGTAATGCGCATAAACAAAAGTCCATTTTAATGATCGTGAGTCTGTACTGTATTAAATTTACTAAATCTTCGATACATTCGCATAATTTACTGTACACATGGTCATGTATTCGTCCACAATTACTATAGCAAATTTAAATAGAAATGTATTGTAATCTTATTTATTGTAGATAAATTGGTGATCAATTAGTACTTTTTTGCATCGTCAAATAAATTGGAAGAAGTATAATGTGAAGTATATAAATAATATTTATTGTTTTCTAGTTTAACCTTTGGCCCCTTATATAAAAATCGTGCTATAATTTTAATTACGTGACTGCTATTGTCAGTGAAATAATTTGCAATTTCAGTTTAAAGAAGTTGGTAAATTTAACAAATCAATAATTTGCAACTGATAATCATATTTTACGATACTTTATTTATCGAATGAAGAATATATTCGAAAGAGAAAGATTTAGAATTGAAAGAAGGATTATTTAATGATGTATAAACTTGAACTAAATACATACACATACACAATCGTAATTGAAGCATGAGAGGTAACAATGTTAATGTGCCTTTGAGTTACGTAGAATAGCCTACCGATGGCGATATAATCGCAGCCTGGGTCGATGTTTTTGTAATGGCGTATACAAGTGCCCGAAAGCCAGCAGTTGAGATGCCGCAAAGGTTTCTGGGTATGCGGAGGGAGCCATATTTTTCCAATATCAGTTATGCGAAAACAGCGCACGCATAGCATCTGCAGAATGGAATTTCGTTCAGTAGCCTGCGTAAAGTCTGTGTTATACAAGAGGAATTGATTACGAGGCAAATGACAAAGCATCAGTGCAAGAAGCCGAGGCGTCTGTGCTAGTCAGAAAATAATAAGCGTGCATTTCCACGCGATCACGAAGCGAAGTTCAGTGAAAACTACGAGCGCAGCCCGCGCAGGTGTTCGAGTCGAGAAGAGGGTTAGTTAACTTAACCCGAGTTCGTAACCGCGACCGGTGGTAGTGGTGGTAGTACTAGTAGCGGTGGTGGTGGAGGTAGTGGTGGTGGTGGTGGTGGTGGTGATGACGGTGGTGGTGGTAGTGGTGGTGGTGGTGGTGGTGGTGGTGGTGCTACTGCTGCTGTGACGATGACACAGCGTCATAACACGACGTACGTCCGTCCGTGCGATTTAACGCGAATTGTTATGGCAGTATAAAGTGTTTTTTATACCGAGAGTGCATTCGCGCCATTACCGATCGAGTGAGTCGTGTCTCGGTCACGATTAATCTGTGCGTATTCAGTGTCAAAGGAGATGGCTTTCTTGTTTAGTGTGTGAACCACGATTCGGAGCAGCATATTTTTTTAGTGGCAGTGGCTTACGATGACATAATTCGGTTCCATTCATCGTTCCTTCGTTGAAAAGTGAGTGCATATATGTGAAACGGAATAATCAGAACCTGTGACCGCGAATAAAGCGACGGGACCGTGGCAATGACACAACGACCTTAACGTCGACTTTTCTTTTAAACATTAAATATTTCCAGTTTGGAAGTGTTGCATTCTTTTCCATTGAAGTCAATTCGAACGTCGCAGTCAACATCAACAATGTTTGGCTAATTTCCTACCCGTGACGCTGTTTTTCAGTGTAACGTGCAGGCATTATGAATAACAGCATGTTCAACAGTCTAGGTTAGTTCAGTGTTTATCTCCATTGTGTTGTTCGACGCGACTAAATTGACGAGCCAGACAAATGGGTGAATTGTCGCTTCATAAATCGACCCTACTAGTAACAACAGAAACGTAATTTCCAAATCAACAATGTTACTCATCGTTTCTATTTCAAGCCGGTACGGGGCATGAAAATTCCAAAGGAGTGCTTTGACCTTAATGTTTTTCTACAACAAATTTAATCGAATATGTTTAAAAAATATCGACGGATCTGAAACAAGTAATTACACCAATAAAAGAAATTCCCTTTTACAAAGTATGTTCATGGACCCGTGACTCAATTTTGGGAAGGTCAACAATTCAACTGTACAACAGAATAGTTTTTCGAAACGAAGATACGACGATCGAGTGGAGATCCGCCAAATTGCAGTATCACCTTACACTTTATAATTTTTCTGGAGAAAAAGACGACTCGAATATTTTCACCGTGATTCTCGATGTATCGAAATTTTGAATGACGACCATTAAAACCTAGTGTAATGCAGAAATGTACAAGATCACAGTAGAGAGGTTCGATGGGCATTGACCGGTGAAAAGCGCGTGTCTACAGTCCGTCGGATATTTTTCATTTTCCAAATTTTGGCATCAATATCCTAAGTCAACAGCCAGCTGTAAAAAAAGTGTACCCAAGTATATACATATACGTGATCCTGCGCGACTTTTTAACCGGAATCGAAAATAGTGAAAGAAGAACCGGCCGGTGAACTATTCGTTTGGCATGCTGTATGCGGTAAGGTCGAGGATGTCGAACGACGAGAACGTGTACGACAGCTGCAAACTTCCAAGCATCGGTGAGCGAGCGTGGCCAGGAAGGAGGACTGAAAGCACGTAGTAGGTTTCGGTGGTGCCAGGCACGTGATTATTTCCGTTTACGGAGGATGCGGCAGGACCTCGAGGTACCTCCACGTAGGCGTACTACCTGCGTTCCAGTGATGTCGGTGTCGGGGTTACCTGCAGCGCTGCTGGACCTGGACCATGGCCGGCAAGCCTGAGCAGCCGTCCACGCACCCTGCTCCCCCAAAGCACAGTCATCATCATCAGTATCATCAACATCACCAACAACAACAACAGCAAGATCAACAACAACAGCAACAACCACATCGTCCTCAGCACGCACATGGGATTCAACAAAATAGCGTTTTAGTCTACGTATCGGGAGAGAATTTTGCGTACGCGACGGCGGTCGGTCAGAATGCCGCCGCCGCCGCTGCTGCTGCTGCTACCGCAGTCGGCTATCAGTCTCCGCAGCAGGCGACGTACACCGGTATTCTGCCGCCGCAGGTGGCGACGGCGGCGGCGACGTTTCCCGCCAAAACCGCCATATACTGTAATGATAACAGCAGCGCCGTTGGAGCCGCAGCTAATAACTGTTGCCGATTAAAACCACTCCAGTACGTCAGTTCTGATGGAGACTCAAGCCGGTCCGCGCGTATCTTGTCTACGGGTAACGTAGACGACGAAGAGGATTATGGAACGATCGTCTCGAATAACGGTTTACTGTACAGACAAACGAATTTCGTTCAAGCGACGAGCACCGCCGCGACTACAACGATGACGTGTGTAGTATCGGCGTGTGATAACAAAAATGCCGCGAACCGGAGTTCGTTGGATAACGACACCGGCAACACTGACAATCTCGCAGCGAACAACGTGGAGTCAATAGGCAGGGTGAACGGTAGCGATAATATGGTACCTAACAAATTATTTCCATCGAGAATTCACGGCGAGATTTACCCGTCACCGGCAAGACTGACAGACGGTTACAATAATAACGGAAGAATCGCGCAGAGGATTCTTGGGGAGGGTTGCGTGGGTCTTCTGAGCGACGATGCTACTTGTGTCGCGTATGTACGGCAGGGAAACGAACCGTCGCAAACGTCCGCGAGTGTTTTTCAAGCCGACAGTGGTGTAGAGCAGCAACGCGTTGATATGGACGAGAAGAGCCGGCAACAGGACGCTTTCCAGAATCAAGCCGGCTCGTCGCTTTCTTCGTCCTCGTCGAGCGTCGGTGTCAGTGGTGGCGGTGGTGGTGTTGTTGTTGTTGGTAATGGTGGTAGCAGTGGTGCGGTTAGCTGTGACTCTGTCCGTTCCGATACCGGTGAATCGTCGACGTATAGCAGTTTGAGCAGTCCCGAAAGTCAAAGTCAATCGGCACACGACGGTTTGTCTGGCGGCGCAACGGTTAACGGCGGTGGTTCGTGCGCGCAGCAGGCTGCGCGTCAGTCGTCGTTGTCGTGCATCAACAACTCAAACAATGACAATACCGGCCAACAAAATGTAGTGCTAACGATGAACGGTAGTGCGGTGGTTACGCAGCAGCAACAGCAGCAGCATCAACAAGCGATTACAGTGCCACGTGAATGGAAAAGGATATGCACCAACGGGGTCATCATTTACATCAGGTGAGTGGTTGATTTTTTTTTTTTAGTCCCCTCGACGTGAAACCGCTCGTTGCATTCTTCTTTGTATGGCCGACGTGAAACGGAGCATTAGACGGAATAAGAAATTGGATTCGAACTATACACGCATTTGACTTGTAGATAAAATTGCATTCATGCATTTATTCGTAATTGCATTTAAATAAACGCGACTTTTGTAAATTAATCGTTGAGTTTATAGTGATGACTGACGCACGCGTCGTATGGATTTAACTACATTAGTTGTACATACGTGATATTCTTGCATAAATAAAAGTAAACAATGGATACTTAAAACATGAGAAATTATAATATAAAATATCAAAATATATTACAGGTATAATGTTTATTTAAATATCTAGAGTGATAAAAATTTGTAGGTCCGTTGCACTAAAAGAGTTAACCTGAACGCTTGCGATTTGAAACTTGAAATAGTTTTTTTTTAGTTGAATATTCAATTTTACTTACAATTAGTACTCTTATGCGCTGTCATGCGCTTTTTATGCAAAATAAATCAAGTTATATAGTTTAAAATAGCAAATAAACTACGCAGTCGTGAAAATATTTCTGCCTTTTTTAAGTTAAAAACTTGCTAAAGATACTGCGACAAAAGGAATTGTAAATATTTAAATAAAACCTTTGTACCGCCAGCTTCTAGTAAGTAAATTGGTATAATTAACATGCAGAAGGTTAACATTTTTTTTTATTTAAAATTGAAATTTCTCTGTTATGGTGACAGGCTTAATATTTATGACTCTTACTAAACAGTAAACTAAGAAATAATTCTCTTCAAAATATCGAATCATTTTTGTTTCCTTAAAACCTGTGCATAATTAAAAAGCTGCATTTAAATTACCTTATTATCTTCAACATTACGCTCGTAACATTCTAGCCATTTAAATGTGAAAATATAATCGATCGATGGGAAGATAAGGAGGTTTTTTTTACCTGCATGTTATTCAGAATCGATGTTCACGCAGTTTATCTTGATGGTTTGCGGGTTATAGTAGCATCGATCCGCAGTTAAACGTTCCCACTAGAACTTTAATTTCGCTAATGGAATTAAACAGCGTCCAGTTCAAGCAAATAAGATTAGCGAATGGGGGTTTCGTTAAATTAGGATAAAGACCGGTGACAGCGGTGATATTCTGCCACGGAGAAACGGTAGAAATGGTTATTCATAAAAACGACTTCAGGGGTTCGTTTTGATAATAAAGCTTGAGGCGTAATAAGCGCGAGAAGGTTTCATCACCTAAGCACCCAGACACTCGTCTGTTCTCAGAGATCTTAAAAAGGTTTTGTCCCCTTTGCGTCCTTTGTAATATTTCCCGACGTACGGCTAAAAAACACGAATTTTCTGGGAGGAAAGGGGGGGCAAGGCCTTACGTTGTACGCCCCTCCTTTCCATCTGTCGGCATCCAACACATGGAAAACGAAAGGCGTCTTCCTTCTAACCTCTCATTGTACTTTTATAGCTCTTTTCAAAGTCCGTTCGAGGGTCACTTTCATCTTTTTCACCGCGTCTTTTTTACGGCTGTCTTTACCAAGATGCTACGCGTCCTCCGCTGCCTTCCTTTTCCAATTCCCATGTTTTAGGGGGGCGCACGTTTGTCCTCACAAGTGTAGAAAATTGTATCAATCCAATTCTCTCTGAGGATCACACATGTGACTCCTACACATGTTTTTAACGTTTTGTTGTGGTACGTTGCGTTTGATATAGGATATTCGATGAGTACTTTTTCGTTAGTCGGTTGACTTGCAGGAGAAATAGACGTTCATCTCTGATTTTGACGTATTTTTGCAGACTGATTAACTACCGACCATTGTTGCTATTTCTAAAATATTAAGTATAGGTACTCAAAAAGTATAGAAACGTTAGATAAAAGCAATATGCAATTTTAATGGACACAGCATAAATTACAATTCTGAAATAAAAAATGAATAACTACACACGATATGTTGCAATATAAATCACAATAATATCATTTTTAATGAATACAGTACTCGATCATTATGTAAAAAAAGTACAGAGAAATATTTACATTTTTTATAAAATATGCGCAAAAAATTTTAAAGTTTCCATATGAACTACTAGAGATTCAGTATCGGGGTTTAGAAAATAATATTCATTACGTGTACGTTACACGATTGAAATATCAATACTTTTTTTTATTATAATAGCATAATGGTGCTTGTTGTAAGGTAGTTTACAACGATTCATTTGTAGAATATGATTAAAGGGTATTGATCACAGTATTATTTAAAAATCCAAACGTGTGTCCATATTGAGGAAAGCTTGTAAGTGTCGTTTAATAAGAGAACATTGCGTACGGAAAATTCACTTTTCTCCAGGAAATCAGAGAACGTCTCGGCGAAAGGCGAGGCAGGTCCTTAAGTAAACGCTATTATCCACGGATCACACGGGATCAGGTGTAACGAGATACATTCACTTTTGTGTCGAATCTGTAGAAACTGATATCTGGTCGTGGCTGCGAGTAGCAAAGGGTAACGCCTCGTGTCGTAATCGGTGCCCTGGTGGAGAAGGTCTGACCTGGTCTGTCCCAAACCTCGTTAAAACGATCCTTCCTGAGCGCCTCGGCAAGAATCACGGCTTAAATGACGTTTAAAGCCCCCCCCCCCAGCCCGGCCGACAAACAATGGTTTGCCGCCTGCAACATCGACTGACTGCGTACCTCCACGGTCCCATAGTCTTTTTGGGTCGAATCCTAGGGGCGCGCACGGTCATTCATGTTTTTTCCTTTCTTCCTTGAAGCTCGTTTCCCAACCACGTCCGTTTCTGTTTCACAAATGTTTGACGTAAGAAAAAAAATTATGTCCTCGGCGTGGGAGAAGTGGGAGACACGAAAGTGGACCCATATGGTTCGAAAATGTCAAGCCCGTCGTATGATACGGATGTCTTCGCGAAGTTGGATTGTGCGATGAGGAACGAAAACGAAAACTCCGATACCACCACGGACAAATAGTTTTTGTCGTCCAGAGATAAATCTTTGATATATCTTCGATTGGCGGGCAAGGATTCCTTGAAAGGATTCTTAAGGTTCGACATCTTCTGTCCAAGGCAATGTATGGCGGTACAGATTCTCACATCGGCTCGCGTACAGGAAGCGAAGGAATTGTCGGAAGGAAGGATGGGGGGGGGGGGCATATACGAAGAGGGAAGAGGAATTTCGTTGAACGCGCTGTTCGTGCGATCATTGATTTACGATGGTACGTCGTAAATACCATCGGTGATGTACGACCGTGTCCCCCTTCCCTCCCGCCCTTTATCCCTTACCCCTACGTACCCTCCCCTGTCTTTCTTCGCAAGTTTCTTCTTTACTCTTCTTTCGCCTTCGCCACCGACGTTCCCTTTACGGACCTCTTCTTGATTTATAATACCTACAGGCCCGTTGTCTTTCTTCGTTTTCTTTCTCCTCGTACTATAGTACCTAGGTGTTCGGACTTCGTTCCCTAACCTTCTCCCTTCTGTCGTCCCCGCCATTGCATCCCTTCTATCACACGGGGCTTCATCTTTGACGCGCGCCCAGAACTTACTTTTTTCAGATTTTTTGTTTTTCGTTTTACTCATCGCATGGATTCTATTAGGTATATAATTAATAATAAATTAATTTTTAACCCTCAGAAACCACACTCCACTTCAGCATACGTAAACACCGTACTAGTGAGAATTGAAGAGAGTAAAAACAAATTGAACTCATGTTTTTTGGGATAAAATTTCCTCAGAAATTTAATGATAGTAATTGCAAAAATGAGAAATAATGTTTTAACTATGAAAATTTGAAACAATTACAATGTTACAGACGAAGCAATGTTTCGCTGGTGCATATTCACTCTGGTGTGGTGTCTGAGGGTTAATTCTATTCAGTCATGTGGTTTTTTAAATAATTTTGGCCTTTTTTAATGTTCTTTAAATTCGTATATTTTATTACACATAAAATCGTGATTATTGTTATAATATGAAACATATTAATTGCTGTTTGCACTTCGGTATCACGTTTAAACCGCTTTTTAAAAAATTGAGAAGAATAAATTTTAATCCTTGAAATTTTGATTAGGCTCCTGATACCTAATTCACTGTTTTACCGGGAAAATACCTTATATCTTCTGAATTGTACCATTTACTTCTTATTTGTACCTGAAAATTATGCAGTGCAGTACGAATAGTCTCTTGCGTAGTACAAATGTAAATAGTATCAAAAGTCACCAGTCTCTACAAAATCAATATAATAGTAAAATGTAATAATCCTAAACAGTACACTGAACGGTATAAAGAATTATAAACTGGATTCAGTTAAGTATATGCAGAAAATTTTGTAAATTTATATCGTAAATTTTCGATTCATTTCATTTGCGTTTAATATCGTCCATCTGTTTACTATGTAGTAACTGGTATATCCACATCATAATAGCGAATGTAAATTGCCTTACGAAACATGTAGGTTGAATTCGTCGAAATCGAAGGTAAATCAATCAACATAATTGATAAGGCGAAGGAATATTTAAGGTCGTTTACAGTTACGTTTCATTTAAAGTCATTGTCACTGGGAATATATACGGCAGAGTTTCGTGGTAATTTACGACCGTTAGATGGATGTTTCGGCGCGTTTATTTCTATTTAAATTTTGCGCTGTCGCGGCGCCGTTTGCGAGATTCATAGATACTTGGATTTGCAATTATTCCTGCCCGGAGCACCTTGAATATTCATTAGAATACTTACTTTGCATAGTGCCAACGTTAAGTGCCACCATGAAATTTGTAATTGTGTTAGGGTAAAGGATAATCCTGTACTCCAAGACCTAGAAGCCGTTTAAACGTTATCCTTTTACGATCCAGTTTTGCTCCTATATTACTTTTTTTTTCTTGTCGTTGATTGCATTTCGTGCAGAAGCGGCGATAAATTGTTTTTACTTCAAGCAGAATGCAGCTAACATGATTAGGAATTTTAACAAGAACTTGAATCTTCCATTA